ACGGGGGAGGGGCAGAGAGAGAGGGAGACACAGAATCGGAAACAGGCTCCAGGCTCTGAGCCATCAGCCCAGAGCCCGACGCGGGGCTCGAACTCACGGACCGCGAGATCGTGACCTGGCTGAAGTCGGACGCTTAACCGACTGCACCACCCAGGCGCCCCTGTCCCTTTTTTTAATGATGTGCACTTTTCTTTCTGAAAAAAAAAAAAAAAAAAAAAAGAACTATGTCTACAATCTTTTTGCCGTTAAACAGTCAACATATATTAGCTTCAATCTACACTAGAGTTTCAAATTCTTTTGATCCCGATCTACAGTACAAATACAGAAGAACAAAGAGTTTGACAGGAAAATACTTATTCTTTCTAAACACAATGTACTTGGTATTCTCTATTCTGGTCTGTTTAATTTTTTAAATGCTCTCTGGACTCAGTAAATTGATTTTAAAAGCTATCAAAACAATAGGATGGAACACAATTAGCTACCTACACAACATACTGGCACTAAGCGTACCAAAAGAGAAAAGGTTTCAAAGAAATTAACTGCCAAAGTGAAGTGTAGTATAACAAAGTATTAATTTGTACGAAGTTTGGTTCCTTTACCCTAAACAGCCTGGGCTCACTCTGTACTATTAACAGAGTCCCAGGAATTAGGAAATGTTTCACAAAACTGCCAACATTATGCTGTTTGTTTTTACACTGCTATGCTAAGGTATGCCTTACATTTCCATATGAAAAATAAATTCCTAAAATTCTTAAAGTGTTAATCCTAACATCCCCACTCTCACTCACAGCCATATATATTTTTGAAAAGAGATGCAATACCATACGATTTCACTCATATATGGAATTGAAGAAATAAAACAAACAAAGGCAAACACAAACAAACAAACAAAACCAGACTCTTAAACACAGAACAAACTGGTGGTTGCCAGAGGGGAGATGGATGGGGGGGTGGGAGAAACAGAGAAAGGGCTTAAAGGGACATTTATCTAGAGCACTGAGTAATGTACAGAATCGTTGAATCCTTGGATTGCACACCTGAAACTAATATAACACTGGACGTTAATTATACTTCTACTTAAAAAAGAAACAGAAAAAAGAGAAATAGAAAAATAATAGACATCACCTACTATATCAGCACTGTATTAGATCAAAAAATTATACTTACTGTCATTCTTAGAATAAGACTAAATTACTGGCAAGTATAAAGGAAACAAGTGCCCAACCTGTATTTCTGATGACATTGGTGATAATCCTGAGGACTTCAAATAAAATAAACTTAATCATCTGTATCACATGAACACTTTGATAGTTTGGCGTGACAAATTCTACTAACCTACAGCTGAAGTGAAAAACAAAGCATCCTAGAAAAGATTCAGATGATTCAGATCCTTCTAACAAGCCCTCATCACCTCACCTAACTGACCCACATGTGAAAAGATGTTAAATAAGCTTCAAAACCACCCCAATGAAAGGAAAAGTTTAAACCCCAGTACCAGCTGAGGTGCTCTGGTAATAAGTTTCTTACTGACTATTTAGATGTATGAGTACGCATATACTAAATAACCTACAAAATTAAGGATAACTTAAATGAGATTACCAAGTACAAGATTCAGAAAGCACCAAAAAAGTTATCCACACACAGCCTTACATGCTTCTTTTGTTATTAACATTATCTGACATCTATGTTTTAAGTCAGTTGGTAAAGAAGTCCCTAAAATACCAATTTCCCTTTTCAAAGGAGAGGTAGCCAATTCAGTGAACAAGACAGTCATGTCCTCATTGACAGCAAGTTATAATGTTTATAATATAAACGTTATTTTTATTCATACAATTCTACTGTAAATCATTCTAGAGTTCTACTGCTGATATCAAAGCTATTATTTTATAAAGAAACACACAAATCTCTATCATTTCAACAGTTGAAAAACAAGGACACAAGTCTTTCTAATCTTATCAGATATAACTGGAAAATACGCATTATTAAATTTAAGCAGTCTATATAGCCTGAAGGCACTCTTATCCCACTGCTCTACTGCTCATTGGCTTAATTCCTACTTCCTCTCTAGGAGTCTACACTTCCTCCCTCAAGCCATCAGCAAGAACAAGGAATGCTGTCCCCCACCCACCCGAGAAAAAAAGTACCCGAGTGAACTGTCAGTTTTCTTGTCATGATAGTGTAACGAACAAAACATTAACTGTACCGATAATAAAAGTGAAATGGACCATAACCAGGAATAAAGTGAAATTGATGGAATGAAGCCACACAGACAGAATCTTGGCTGACTCCATTTTTTACAGTAGCCTATCATCAGCATAAAAATAAGGCATAACTCGATGACGCATTCATTCACGTAAACAGCCAAACACAAATATACCCAGCATGTAATATAGACTATTTAACGACTACTGCTCTACTGTTGCAAATACTGGATCTTTTAAAAAATCAAACTAAAAACTGTACCATTTCACACAAATCGTAATTATCATATTTAAGCCCAACAAACAATCCCTATAAATTTCCAATACAGACCAAAAAAGTAATGTCTAAGAAATTATATTGGGGTCATTTCGCTATCTGGAAACTTCCTTGATCTACTTTTTATATAATGTTAGATAATAAGAATAAAATAGGGCATTTCCCCAAAAGGTAGTAATCAACTGAGACCCAACAGCTGACCTATATCAATACTTAAATGCAGAGAACACACTGGCATTCTTAACATAAATTCTCAAATAACTTAAAAATAGCAATACCACTGAAGATACATCTCTTGACAGCTTTTCCATTCTTAACTTCTTCCTAGTCCTTACCCAAACTTCTGTGTTTGATAACTCCCACTTTCAAGACCTCATTATCTTACAAATGCCTGAACAGTCACTGCTTGACCCCACAGTGTACAAAGTCAGTCCCTAAAAATTCTAGTCTCTTTTTTTCGATTACTGAGAAATACAATATGAATTTACTTGAGACTATATATTTTTGTCATGTCATATCAGACTTCTAAAAAGACAAAATATGAACGATACCCCTAAAACTTAACCTACTTTAAACTGTGCAAAACCCCTGGTTTGAAATTACTTAAAATACATTAATAAAAATAAAATGTGTTTGGCCAAATATTTATTCGATTTTTGGCTTATCTGGCTTAAATTAAATATGCATAAGCAAGGGTTCTTTTTATAGAGATATAAAAAACAAAGCTCAAGAAAACATACCTAGTGGAAAAATATACATAAATTATTCTGGCCAAACAGCAAAGTATCGTATTGCACAAAACTACTATGTAAACTTTTAAAAACCAAAAGGCAATTCAGGATATGATTTTCCCTTTTATTATAACTGTACATTTATATTGATTACTGGTGCACAGAGATCTCCCACCATTTCATAGATGAGAAAGAACAGATATTAAATGACAACCATGATCATTGACAAGAGCGTCGCTATGGAACCATAATCCAAGAACGGGTACTCTAGAAGTACCTAAACCGTTTCTTTGAATTTTCAAAAGAAACACTAGGAAAAGTCTCTACATTTATGAAACAGGGAATGGAAAATTACATATGCTTTATAAAATAGTTTACCCTACACATAAAAATAAAAGACATAACAAAACCAGTACCAAAGTCAATCACAATGGTCTCACGCTTAGGAGAAAAGATGGTTTCGAATTCTTACATTCCCAGCATGAGCCTAGGAGCCTGTAAAAACCATCCCATTCACATGTATGAACACACACACACACACACACACACTTTCAACACCTCATGACATGAAGCTGCTAGAAAACTTCTGATCCGGGCCAAGTTCAATACAATTATTATGGATAGGCCATCTTAGGCCTACGAGTGATTTACCTGACAAACTAATTTTTAATCAATTTCAAACCAAAAATCAATCAGTCAATCAACGAAATAATCACCACTCGACTTGTACTTCAAGAAAATAAAGGTCTACTCGGGAAGGCATTGTAGTGCGAACACCTGCCAACAAAGTAAAATTGTTAGGACCCCACAGGTACGACCCTGGCCAACACCCCTCGGCGCAGGTGTGGGTGGTGAGGAGTTTCTCTCTCCCAACAGAGGGCCGGGTGTTCAACGCGCTCGCACGCACGTGACCCGCGAAGAAGAACTTAGGCCAAGCCCCCAAGCTTGAAGGTCACATGGAGCGTCTGCGCGCCTCGCTGAGCTATTCGGCTACGGTAGGTCTTCCTCCAAATCCCGTCTCCGGGGAGGGAAATGACGACAAAAGTCCAACCGGCTTAGATCCGAATTAAATTTACAGTACATCTACCCCTCAAGTGGGAGCTGTTCCCAAACATTCCCCACCAAGTACTATCGCAAAATGTCTTAACCATTATGTCATGCTGTCTTCCAAACATGACAATTTCTGGAAAGTCCGTGTGCAGCAGTTTCCTCTGCGAGTGCCATACGGAGATGAAATAAAACCCACGGGCCACCACCTTCCAGTTCCTGTTGACCGAAGAGATGTTCATCTCTCCGCCCATTTCAAGAGCAATTTCCAGAGCCTGGGAAGGAATGCGTTCCCCCAACCGACACGTTCAACTGAATGTGTGTTATTCCGCCATGCGCTGGGGCAACCGTGAGCAATAATCCACTTTGCTCATCACCGAATTACTCAAAATCTCTGACGGTTGACCTGAAAACATACGTCCTTCCTCCCAAACGCCACTTTAAATCAAGGCAATAATGGGGTAGCGCGGTTTTTACTCTTGGGACAACATCTACCAAAAACTATTTAAAAAAAAAAAAAAAAAAAAAAACTCGGGTAAGTGGGATCCGTTCCCTTCCCGCACATGTACTTCGAGCTACGTACCAGGCCCGTGACGCGTTTACCATACATGTCACATGGACGATCTATGTCCAGCCACGTACTGATCGCCGAGCCCCGTCGCTCACTCGCGGCGACCCCCCGCAACAACGAAACCACCAATGCCCAACGAAACGGGGGCGGACTTAGGCCAGGCGCACACTCACCCCACTCCAGGTATTCGAGAATGTTCTTCTCCCTTCGGAGCGGAGAGTTGTTGCACTCATCGTACAGGCAGATGAGGATGTCCAGCAGCGTCTCGACGCTGAAGCACTGCCCGTTGGTCTGAGCGGGCCCGTCCAGGATGAACTGTTCCGAAGTGCCGCAGTGCACCCTCTCCCGGACATTACGTTTGCGCTCATGTCCGCCGCGCCTCCCCTCGGTCGATTTCAAGCGTAAATAATGCGAAGGCCCCCTGAGCCGGAGTTCTGGAAGCGGTGGGTCCGGTCCCCCACGCAGTTGTCAGGTTTCAATGCGGACGCCCGACAACCCATTCCCCCTGCCCTGAGCGGCCGGGAGCCCCCCCGGCCCGGAGCGCCTGCGATCCTGCGCGTGTACGTCTGCCTTCCTGCGGGTGAGTCACTATGCACGGGGGCTTTCGCAGAAGACTTTTTCCAAAGAAGGAGCACGGTGCAATGCAGGAGGCGATCCGGCACAACGGACCTGGGTGAGTCCAGATCTCTTTAAAAAAAAAAAAAAATTTTTTTTTTTTCCTGAAAGAAAAGAAACACAACTTTCGTCATTCAAAATTCACCTCAGGCCACACAACCCCGCAGGCAGCGAGCCCGGCCGCACACATTTGGTTTGGTCCGCCTGCCCCCGGGGAAGGTGGAGGCTCACTGGCAAGGGGAGAAGCCCCCAGAAGGCACTCGGCGGAGGCAGCGCCAGCCGCCGCCGCTGCCGCAGAGGCCCCGGGCGCCGCGGGCAGAGCAGCTCGGCGAGGTCCGCGGCAGCTCGCACGCCCGCCTGGCCCTGCCCGAGGACGCGCCTCCTGCTCCCGGCGTCCCCCTCGTCAGGGCTCTCCAGGCGAGTCCGCTCTCCCGCGGATTCCGGACGGCACTCCTCATTTTCCGGCGGCGTCCGCCGGGCCTGACGCGCGGGCTGCGGCGGCTCGCCTCTGGCCCGGGGCTGTACTGGCTGTCAGCGCCCCATGGCGGGGGGTCGCCGGCTGGCCTGCGCCGCGCGGTGATCGGCTGTCAGTTTCCCCTGCCTCCCCCTCGGCTGCCGCCCCGGCGGCTGCCGCCCCGGAGGCTCCTGACGCCTGGCGCGGGCGCGGGGGGAGGGGGGCTTCTGGATTCACGCCGGGACGCGGTCGGCGCCTTCTCCCCCCTTCACGCCCTGGGCTCAGGGGCATCTTTCCCGACCGGGATAGAGGGGTCGGTGCCGCCGGTGAGGAGAGCGGAGTGGCCCGGCTCTGCAGCCACCTTCCTCCGTCCCACCCTCCCCTTGCCTTCCAGCTTCCAGGCCTGCGCCCTGGCCTGGGCGAGGCTCCCCCAGCTCCCCTGCTGCGTGTCTGCGGCGTAGGCTTACAGCGCGCCGCCGCGCCCGGATCCAGCCATATGGCAGGCCCGGTTGCGCGCCTGCGCCGCCCCCGCCCCCTGCCTGAGCTCCTCCTGGGCCCAGTCGGTCCCCCAGCTATGGTGCGTGATGAGGCCCAGGAGGGGCGGCGGGCTGCGGCGTGGGCGGCTGCACTGAGGCTGCGGCCGCCGCGACCTGAACGCAGGATGGCGAGGACCCGCGGAGGCCTCTGGCGCGGATGGCGAGCGGGCCTTGCCCGGCGCCCCCGGAGCACCACCTGCCCGGCACGTTTGCTCCGGGAGGAGGGGTGGGGGAGGGGCAGGAGCAGCCGCTGGGCCCTGCCCCAGACTCCATGGAGACGCCTCTCTAGCCCCTCACTGCGCGCACAACCCGGCCTCCCCCCTGCAAATGGCAGTTCCCGAGCTCGACCGACTCGCAATTCCCTGGGTGTCTAATTACACCACTTCGTGTGTCATTCTCAGGACAAATGCAATGACAGACCCGTGTGCGCTAGCGTCCGGGTCGGGAGTGTGTGTGCCAAGCAAGGGCAGGATGCCCATCTCCAGTTCCGAAAGTTTCCCTACGCGGAGCACTGGGCTCCTCCTCCGGAACCACTCCAGCTGCCGCCAAGGTTATACCACCTGCAGGGATTCAGGCGGTGCAGGGAGTCCCGACCGTGCTCGGCCGACTTCGAACCCACGGTCCCTGTGTGTGCGCGCGCCCGCGCCCCCGCGCGCGCCCGCACACGTGTGACCCTGGGGCCCTGCAGACTCTGGGTAACAGGGGCAGGTCGTTCAAGAGCTACGGTCCCCGATGCTTTCAGGCATTCAGGGCCTTCCCGGTTTTTTCCAGTCTTGGTTTCAGGAGAGCTCTGTTTACGGATTTCTCATGGAAGGTCCCACATTGAAATGTATCACCAAACTGGGTCACTGCATTTCTGTCATTTCCTCTCAAAATGGCCATCTCCTTTATAATTTTTCTCCAGAATACAATTATGTTATATCCCTTGCCTATGCCCGTGGGCCAGTAATGTGTTCTATGTTAGTGCCCACAATGGCATCTTTTTTACATCTTAATAATGTGGAAGCTGAGGAACAACTAGGAATGAAGTCTAAGAAACAAAGGCTGATAGAAATTATTCAAGTTGCTGTGATTCACAAAACACTATGAATTTTTTGTAGCATCTACGCTTGCCAAGTCTACACTTGCCTGGCTTAAATGGGAGGGCATTATCGCCAACGTGCTGTTGACACGGGTGATACTTAGACAAAAGATCAATCGTTTCTAGCCATGACATTTTTATATGTGTGTGTTGTCTGATTATAAAAGTAACAGAAAAGCAAAACTGAGCTGTTTAATCCCAACACAGATAATCATATTTTGGTGTTTATTATTCAGGTCTTCTTTCCATGCATTTTAACAGAAATGATACATACTAAAAGACAGTTTCATAGCCTTCTCTTTTCAGTTGGCAATATACTATAAACATCTCTTTAGGTCAAAGAATGTCCTTTAACAACATGGTTTTTAATAGCGAAGCCAAGACATTTTAACACTCTCATTTGACCTAGCAAAGAAAGAAACCATTCCTTTCGTTTTTCCACCATAGAACTGACTCCAAGAGGGGCACCTGGGTGGTTCAAGTCAGTTAAGCATCCGACTCCCGCTCAGGTCAGGTCATGATCTTGCGGTTTGTGGGTTCGAGTCCCATGTAGGGCTCTGTGCTGACAGCTCGGAGCCTGAAGCCTGCTTCACATTCTGTGTCTCCCTCTCTCTCTGTCCCTTCTCTGCTCTCACTCTGTGTGTGTGTCTCTCTCTCTCTCAAAATTAAGTCAACATTTAAAAAACAGAACTGACTCCAAGATACCTACTCATCCAACTTGTAAATAACTATAAGAAAGAGTTTAAAAGAGAGAATTTTAAAAATGTTCGATCTTCATAAATGCTGATTAACAATGGAAGTGTATGAGGTACAGATACGTTTTCTAACAAAGGAGTCAAGCTGCGAGTCGTGTCTCTACCTATTCTGTTAGCGCTTGGGTACCACCCACAGTCCCGGGTGTTGATGGTTGCTTAATAACCTTTTCCACATTGTTTAGAGAGTAAAGGGGAGGACTTATTTTTATGTTTAAAAAAAAAAAAAAAAAAGCACAAAGAGAAGGAAGAAGGTTGAACGCAATCAATTTTGCTTGAATAATTCAAGCTCAGGGACTTAATAATTAACTAGACACTAAACACATTGTGCGGGTGTTATTTTAAATGTTCCGGTTGAAGTGTGAACATGCTTGTTAATGAAACCGGTCTTAAGCCAAAGAAAGGCGCAGCCTCGGCAGCCCCACGGTGCTTGAACTGCTCCTGCGAAACACGAGGGCCACAGGGTGCCTGGCAGGGTGTTCCCTGGGAAAAGAGCCTGGGGAGGTCTTTGTGAAATTCCAGTCGGGGGCCTGGAGATTAGATAGATGCATTAGATTAGATGTATGCTACCCACAAACACAGTTTGTTTGAAGTCATCAGAAAACGTTTTAGGAAGGTGTTGGGAATTATTGCGACCTTTCAGAATAGAAAGAGGACAGGACAGGAGTCATTATGCCTCGTCTCCAATGCAATCTCCCTTGGTCTATCCAATCCTCTGACTCTGGCCTAAAAGCAAGAGAATCGGTCCACCAATGAACATTTATAACGACCGACCCCACTCTTACCTCGCCGTATCTTACTCCAGAACGATGGACGACATGGGGCACCTGGGTGGCTCAGCGGGTCGGGCTCATCATGCTCTCGTGCTCCGTGGGTTCGAGCCCTGCGTCGGGCTCTGTGCTGCCAGCTCAGAGCCTGGAGCCTGCTTGGGATTCTGTGTCTCCCTCTCTCTCTGCCCCTCTGCCACTCACACTCTGTCTCTCTTTCTCTCTCTTAAAAATAAATAAACATTAGGAAAAAAAAAAAAAAGAGTGACGGACAACAGGGCCAAAAATAAGGCGTGTGCCACATCACATCCCCGTTCAGCCGAGCGCGTCGTGACCCCACAAATGAATGACTTGGTTTTAACAGCCTCTGAGGATGAAACCCCAGCTTGTCCTCATTTCACAGCTGGCTCCCAACATGAGTAATTGCTTCCTTTACAGAACACTTACAATGTGTAAATCCTGTCCTGAGTACATTGGACACACTATTCTATTCAATTGTCATAAGCATATGAAGTAGAAAAATTATCCTCTCCATGTCGTGGATGAGAAAACTGAGGCCTAGCAAACAGATCCGTAGCTAGGAAGGGACCAAGGAGCTGCGAGTTAACACCAGGCCCACCTCATGCCAGGGCCCAGGGTGTTATTTTTTTATTTATTTATTTTTTAAGATTTTATTTTTAGGTAATCTCTCCACCCAATGTGAGGCTCAAACACAGCCCCGAGATCGAGAATCACACGCTTTACCGCCTGAGCCAGCCAGACTTCCCCAGGGCCTGTGGTTGTAACCACTACACAAGTGAGGTCTGAAAGTGTGCAGAATTCTGTAAACCCAGAATTCTATTGTAACCAGGAAGCAGGGAGATACAGTGGTTAATTCGCATAGTTGGGCATTAGAAATTGACATGCGGGCAAAAGAGGGAAGTAGAGAGGATATGGCAGGGTCCAGCCAGAAAACCAGAAATCACCCATGTATTAAAACCGGGGGAACCTTCATTCTGGGAAATGGTGACGCAGGTGATGGACGGGCTGAGGAAACAAACAGGGGAGATCAAGGTAACCCCCAGTTTGGGGGCAGCAGCTGGTGCAGCCGCAACGCTGGTGGGAGTGAGAACCGGGCCTGGTGGGGGCTGAGCCACAGAAGAGACAACTACTAGGGAGGCTGT